GTCATGATCCCAGGGTCCTGGGATCGAGCCCCACATCAGGCTCCCTGCTCTGCGGGAAGCCTGCTTCTCCCTCTCCCACTCCCCCCTCAAAAAAAATCTATAAAAAAATCTCTCTCTCTCAAATAAATAAATAAAATCTTTCAAAAAAAATTTTTAAAAAAAGAACTTAACAAACTCAATACCCAAAAAAACACATAACCTAGTTAAGAAATGGGCAGAAGACATGAATAGACATATTTCCAAAGAAGACATCAAGATGGTTAACAGACACATGAAAAGATGCTCAACATCACTCATCATCAGAGAAATACAAATAGAAACTACAATGAGATATCACATCCTCACTCTTGTCAGAATGGCTAAAAATAACAACACAGGAAACAACAGATGTTGGCGAGGATGCAGGGAAAGGGGAACCCTCTTGCAGGGTTGGTGGGAATGCAAACTGGTGTGGTCACTCTGGAAAACAGTATGGAGGTTCCTCACAAAATTAAAAATAGAACTACCCTAGGATTCAGCACCTGCACTACAAAAATACTGATTTTAAGGGATACATGCACCCCAATGTTTATGGCAGCATTATTAACAACAGGCAAATTATGGAAAGGTGTGTGTGTGTGTGTGTGTGTGTGTGTGATAAAGAAGATGTGATGTATATGTGGTGTGTGTGTGTGTGTGTGTGTGTGTGTAATGGAACATTACTTAGCCATCAAAAAGAATGAAATCTTGCCATTTGCAACAACATGGATGGACCCAGAGTGTATTATGCTAAGCAAAATAAGTCAGTCAGAAAAAGACAAATGCCATATGATCTCATTCATATGTGGAATTTAAGAAACAAAACAAATGAACATGGTGGGGAGGGGAGAGGGGCAAACCATAAAACAGGCCTTTAACTATAGAGAATAAACGGAGGATTGATGGAGGGAGGTAGGCCGGGGATGGGCTAAATGGGCGATGGATATTAAGGCGGGCACTAGTTGTGATGAGCACTGGGTGTTATACGTAAGTGATGAATCACTAAATCCTTCACCTGAAACTAATAATTACACTGGATGTTGACTGGAATTTAAATAAAAACTTGAAAATAAATAAAAAATAAACTGGAAAAATGTATAAACAAAATCTATCATTTTTTTAAATGGGTAAATTCCTTTGAAACAAAAGCATAAAGGAAACCACAGTAAAACTTAAAACCTATAATTCAGAAGAGAAAAGATAAATTTGACCAGATAATTCTTTAAAGAATAGGGAAATTCAGGGGCATCTCAGTGGTTCAACTGGTTAAGCATCTGACTCGATTTCAACTCAGGTCATGATCTCAGGGTCGTGAGATCGAGCCCCACATGGGGATCTGTGCTCAGCATGGAGCCTTTTTGAGATTCTCTCTGTACCTCTGCCCCTCCCCCTGTACTCTCCCACATGTGCACTCTCTCTCTCAAATAAATAAAATCTTAAAAAAAAAAAAAAAAAAAGAATAGGGAAATTCAGATGATAAATGACAACCTTGGGGGAAAATCTAGTTTGTGTCTCCTTCATATAAAGAAAGTATCTAGCAGCACCTGGGTGACTCAGTGTGTTAAGCCTCTAACTCTTGGTTTTGGCCCAGGTCGTGACCTCATGGGTCATGGGACAGAAAAGAAGAGATTGGGGATGACTCCCTGCTTAGAAGATTCTCTCCCTCTGCCCCTTCCCCCACTCACTTGTGCACTCTCTCCCTCTCTAAAATAAATCTTAAAAAAAAAAAAAAAGTATCTAGAAGTTAATAAAGTTCAAACATGATAGAAAAATGGGCAAAAGATTCCAAACAGCAGTTCAGGTCCACTTCAATGAATAGTATGCACCGGCAAGAGTACAGACAGAGAAACTGCTTGCCAGGCACTGGATTTTTTTTACTGATGGTTTTAGCACATAAAAGTAGAATGATAGATTGAAAGGTATTTTTTTTCCCCTCATGGTTATTTGGAAAGTGCAGCTATGACATGGCACATTTAGCACAGTTCTTCAACATTCTAAATATCACTACTGAGAATTTTTGTAAAATACTATATTCTACAAGTCATTTTTTCTTACATTTTAAATTAAAATGAGGACCTTGCCTCTTTGCAATTCTACCTCCTTGACATTTATTTTTCCCCATCAGTTTCTTCTTCCCATAAGTGTTGGTGTTGTATAAGATGCTCCCTGGATAACCTGTATGTTGACTACACCCACATCTGTACTCCTCAGGGGTTCAAATTCCCACAGATCCCTACTAGAGTCTCAAGTCTGATGGGCATTCCCCTGTTAAAGTAGACTCATCTTCCCCTGTCAATCTGTTCTTCTTCCTTGCCTACTTGAGATGTTGATCAGAGAGGATTTGGGGTTGAGTGAGATTGGAAAGACAGAAAAGAAGAGATTAGGCAGTAAGTTCAAGTTTGTAGTTTTGCTGATTGTTACCAAATTAGCTCTTAGCAAATCCAGTTAATTTCACCTCCTAGGCATTAAAAAGAAAAACCCCTCTTTGTTATCTCTATTTTACCTCCCTAGATTGTATAATGGACACACAATGGTCTCTATGTGTGCTTGAACTTCACAAATCGGTCTCACATCCACCAGAAAGAGCTCGAAAGTACTAATCTGAGTATATCACTTATCTGCCTACAATCCTCTGTTGAACAATCACGTTTTGAGGTGGTCAGGACAGTGAGCCAAACTTAAAGTAACAATCGAGCCTTTATTCACTCACTGTGATAGCGCAAGCCAGAGGCCAAAAGAGAGGCACCAGTTCTGCAATGCTCCATTCCTTCCCCACCCGCCATGGGCCAGCATTAGGCAAGGGTCAGGTGGGTGCAGTGCAGGTGCAGGGAGGCATCTCATTCCAAGGGGCCCCAAACAAAAGGCTCCTGACTCTTTATGGACTCATGGGCTGAGGGGGAAGAGCCAGAAGTGGAAAGATACCGAGTCAAGTGGAGAAAAGTGCCTCAACCAAAGACCCCTGGTAAGGAGTTCTTAGCAGAAGCACCTGGGAGGTGCCTCAGTCAAGGTCCCTGATAATGAGGCCTCTGAATGGAGACACTTGGGCTAAAAATACAGGTTACTTATGAGCATGTCTGGCCTAGGTGCCTGAGTCTTGGACCTCAATTTTCTCTAGAAAACACAATGCACTGGGCATGCACACAGTCTGGTGTGGACAGGGCACCTTTCCCCTATGAGGCCTGCCAGACAATGACTACAATTGCCTATGGTCAGGACTCATAGGTCACACAAGGATTCTGGCTTGGAGCTAAACTCCTCACCCTTCAGTGGCTACCCCAAAGCCTCAACCTCTTCACACGGTAAACAAAGATCCCTTCATCTGACCCCCATGCCTACTTTTCTGCTATCATCTCCTGCTTCACATTTCATACTCCAGTAAAAACTGCCCCCCTCCATGGGGCGCCTGGGTGGCTCAGGTCAGTTAAGCATCTGCCTTTGGCTCAGGTCATGATTTCAGCCCACATTGGGCTCCCTGCTCAGCAGGGAGTCTGCTTCTCCCTCTACCCCTAAAAAAAATCTCCCCCCCTCTCAAAAAAATAAAATCTTCTAAAAAATTTATTTTAAAAAAAACTGCCCCCCCTCCAAAGTATTCTAACCCCCATGCCTTTGTTCAGTTTCCCCTGCTTTCCCCACCTTCTGTTTCTTCACCAAGCAAACTCCCACTTATCCTTTGAGATTTATCCCAGGTGCCACCTCCACCAGGAAGCCTTCTTAACAAATATCCACCTTCATTCTAGACACAAGTAACTCTTCCCTATGCTGTGGATCCTTAAGCTCTCATGCAGACAAATTGCTACCAATTTACTTACTACATAATATTTCCTGTTTCTGTATCTATGTAACAAAACACTAAATTCCTAGAGAACAGAAGCCATATTAGCTCTTTGGAATTCCTCTCCAAAAGGCCACCATTCACTCTTTACAATTGGCTTCTTAGTCTACGGGCCTTAGGCTCCATGGTTGTCAGGGATTTCTAAAATCTTTTCACTTATATATGATGAGTACTGGAACATTTAAAAGTGTCCATTTGCAAAGTGATAACCACAACTTTTCACCTGTAAGTTCTGAATTTCTTGTCATTAAACTTTCACCCAATTTTTATGGGAATCCAGTCCGAGAGAAGGAAGAGGGGAGCCAAGCAGACAACAAAGATACTCAATGTCAGCAAAAGTCTTAGTACCCAGCAGTCCTAACACAACATTAAACTGGACAAGTCCACGTAAACTTGTGTCCCTGATGAAGTCGTAGCTTCTAGCTGTGTCACCGAAGAGGAAACCAGACTTCATTCAGGGAGAGATTGCAAGAATGGACTCCACAGGGAGCCTGGGTGGCTCAGTTGGTTAAGCGACTGCCTTCGGCTCAGGTCATGATCCTGGAGTCCTGGGATCGAGTCCCACATCGGGCTCCCTGCTCAGCAGGGAGTCTGCTTCTCCCTCTGACCCTCTTCCAAAAAAAAAACTCTATCTCTCATTCTCTCTCTCAAATAAATAAATAAAATCTTTAAAAAAAAAAAAGAATGGAAATTTAGATTCTCTCTCTCTCTCTCACTAAACACTAAAATGTGTGCTCGTACTATTTGCACTGTTTCTGCACCTACTGAGTAGGCACAGAGCTACAGACTCCAGAAAAATAAGGCTAGGGTGAGAAGCATGCCAGACATTTTTAAAAATCCCAGTGAGAATAGCAAAGATGAGCTTTTTACCTGGTAAAATCCTTACTCCACAGTTATATTCAAAAGCAAAAGCAATACTATGACCATGTGATTGTGTCCTCTCCCATTTTTATACAAAGATGTTTCTGTATCCTTTGCCATTCAAGACATTTTAGATCCTCTACATAGGGAGAAGATAGACCAGGAGTTTGTGTGAAATGAATGTCTACAAATATAATGTTAAAACCCTAAAATATTTTAATGGATTGTGGCTGCCTCAAATTAAATCGAGATAAATAACAATAAATGAATGTGTACCCCCTGTACTTACAAGAGAACATGAGCAACGATGGCATTCACATCGAACAAAGTATCAGTAGGGAATTCTCTGAGTAAGATGTTGCCCCTATAAAAAAATTTAAAAAGCATTACAGAAATATTTCCTTGGAATTCATTTTTCTTGTCTCTCTAATACAGTAGGTTTTAAGTTCTTTGATGTTAGAGCCTGGGTGTTATACATTATCCCGTGCACCTCACCTACCAGCGTGCTGACCATAAAATACACAAAAATATTTATTGAATATACACTCAATAAATATGTTGACTTTGAAGAGCCCAGACCCTGGGCTAGGCAAAAAGACTGGGAAAACACAGGAGTCTCAACAAGGCTTCCTACCAACCTCCCAGTCACATACACACACTTTCCCTAAATGGGCTGGGAAGGAGACAAGTAGGAGAGAAAAAGAACTGTCCTTAGCAGTTGATCTCTGAGGAGACAGAGTATGTCCCCACTTCTTAGGCCAAATCCCAACAGTTTGAGAAAAAGACTTTGAGAAACCTGAGAGACTAGCAGACCAAAGTGGAGAGGAATCTGTAACTGGGACATTGGCAGATCTCTCAAAAATACATTTCTTTCACACCCAAATATGGACCTGACAGATCTATTTGAAACACTAAATTTGTGAAGGGCTTACTTTCCAGGCACTTATAGTAGGAGTTTACATAAGAATTCTCATGTAATATTCAAAACAAGCCTGTGAGGTAGGTTTTACAGCTATTTTACCTCATTTTATAGATAAGGAAGCTGAAGCACAGGTAACAAATCTATGACTTAGACTATTTGCTAAGCTTCATGTGACCTCCCCCCTGCAATTGTATACAACTTTATTCTGGCTTAGTGATAAAAAAAATATTTTAATATTCTAGAAGTATAGCTTTATATCCGCCTATCACACTCAAAAAAATACTTTACCTGAATAAATATGCTTTAACCAAATCCTTTTCTTTTCCACAGTATCTTGATGTTTCTTCTTTGACACAATTAACCTTTAAAAGATTATATTTAAGGTTTAGAGTATATATCAAAAGGTCAAGTTTCTTGGTTAGGGAAACAAGAAGGATAATTAAACAGCACAATCTGTCTCCGGGTCAAATTTTTTATTTTACTTTTCTTTCTGATTTGTATCCTATAATTGCTTATTTATTCAAGTGCTTGAGGTAACCCCGAGAAAGGAATTATTTCTACACCTAAGAGTTATATTTAATTATACTTGAGAGAATACTTATAAAAAAAGTAGGAAGTAACCAAGTAGAAAAGGAAAGAAACAATGAAGGCGGGACAAAAAAATCATGAGTAAAAGCCAATAAGCAGAAGTAAGTGGTTAAGTTGGGAGCATGAAAGCATCTCAGCAGCTGGAATAAAGATACTGCTGGTTTCTTATCCAAAATCCAGCCTTCCCTTTTGTTCTACTACCAGAACTTCCCTAAACACAAGTGCCCCAATGAAAGACTTTTCCGGACTCCCCAACAGCTACAGATGGCCAGTGTTAGAAGTCACTGGGGTTGGATTCCAGATGGTTCTTAAAAGGGAGCTGACTTATACTCTTTTTCCACTTCTTCCTAACAAAAAACAGACAAGGCAGCTGGGGCACCAGCAGTAATCATGGACCATAAAACGTCTTTAAAGGAGAAACCCATGCTGAGCATGGTGCCACAGAAAGAATGAACCCTAATCACTGATGACGTCACAGCAGGCCTAAGAGCCCTTGATAATTTATAATCTAGACTCTGTGTCAAAAATATAAGAATAATCCTGGCAGCAACATGAAGATACAGTGGAAGGCAAGAGAGCACAAAGATAAGGAGGCAGGTTAAACAAATATCACATCAGTACAAGGCAAGGATGACTGGCACCTGAAGTAAAGCAGAGAAGGACAGAAGAAGTTCAAGAGATTTCTCACCAATCCAGTAAGAACTAGGGAGAAGAAGAGGCATGTGTATGCAGCCTGGGATAGAGGGGGAAGGAAAGAGATAAAGAAAACAAAGAGGTTTCGAGATGGGGCAATGGGTAACCACCAGCAAAACTTAAACTAAGGCTGGAAGAAAAAGTTATTTCATTTTAGAGTTTGTTTTTGTTTGATTTTTTTAAAATGGGTTTGGGGTTGTTTTTGTTGTTGTTTTTTTGGTTAGAGAGAGAGAGAGAAAGATTTTATTTATTTATTTGAGAGAGAAAGAATGAGACAGAGAGAGAGAGAGCATGAGAGGGGGGAGGGTCAGAGGGAGAAGCAGACTCCCCGCTGAGCAGGGAGCCTGATGCGGGACTCGATCCCGGGACTCCAGGATCATGACCGGAGCCGAAGGCAGTCACTTAACCAACTGAGCCACCCAGGCGCCCCATGGGTTTGGGGTTTTGTGTGTGTCATTCAATTTAATTTTAATGGAGTTTGAGGAAGTAGAATGACAACTGGGGAAGCCACATTTATTTTCAAAAGCTACAAAAGGAGAACTGACACTCAGAAAAAAATATTAGGAATAAAGAATTAAAATTAAAAGTCAGAATACAGCTACACCCGCCAAAAAACTGAATGTTAGCAAGAATTTTTAAAAGTCGGAGCATAGGTGATGATTGACATTATGACAATAGATTTTTTTTTTCCATTCATCCCATTCAACATATACATGAACACCTACCATATGTTAGTCACTCTTCCAGTCACTGGGGTACCGTTAGGTTCCAAATAAAGATCTTTATCTTTAGAACTTACATTCTAAAAGTAGAGAGAGACAATTTTAAAAACTAGTATGTAGTGTTAAGTCCCATATAGGGAAAGAAAAGTAAGGGGATAGGGCGCCTGGGTGGCTCAGATGGTTAGGCGTCTGCCTTCGGCTCAGGTCATGATCCCAGGATTCTGGGATCGAGTCCCGCATCGGGAGCCTGCTTCTCCCTCTGCAAAAAAAAAAAAAAATCTCTCTCTGTCTTTCATGAATAAATAAATAAAATCTTTAAAAAAAAAAAAAAGTAAGGGGATAGTGTGTGACAGGACATTTTAGTTAGGTAATCAAGGAAGGCTTGGGGGAGGAGGTGACCTTTGCACAAAGAACAGAAGGAATGGAACGATGCATATGATTATCATATAAATGTGTGGAAGAGAGGAGTTCTAAGCAGAAGGGAAAATACTTGCAAAGACCTTGTGGAAATGACACTTCCAGCAGGTTCAGGCAACAAAAAGAGGACCTGTAGGTGTCAGGAACAAACTAAGCGAGGTAAAGGGACAAAAAAGTGAAATCAGAGGAAGCCAGTGTCCACAAGAGTGAAGAGTTTCTATTTTATCCTAACTATAACGGGAAACCTTTCTGAAGGGGTAGCAAAGGGACCTGACACACATGACTTATGTGTGGAGCAAAGTTTAGTGGGACATGAGTGAAAGGAGAAAGACCAATTATTAGAAGGCTACCGTAGTTTCCCAGATGAGAAGTGATGAAGGTTTAGACGAGGGGAGGGAGGGGTCAGATTTGGGAAGTTTTGATAATAGAACCTAAAGATTTCTTGATGGCTTGGTCATGACAAAACGAAAAGTCAAAGATGATTCAAAGGTTTTTTGGTTTAAAATCTGCTTTGATATAATGAAATAGCTATACCAGCTTTCTTTCAGTTATCATCACTTACATGATACATCTTTTCCCTTCATTTACTTCGAAGATGTCTAAAGCCTGTATTTCAAGACGCATTTCTAAATAGTATAGCGTTGGGTTTGGTTATCATACCCAGCTTGGCAATCTCTGTCTTAATGGGAACATTTAGTCCAATTTATATTTTAGTGTTTTCTTCATCTATGTCCGCCTCCTGAAATCTTAACTTTTAAAGACAATCTCAAAATGCTACTTTTTGTCAAGTCTTTCCCACTACTATACATGACCTTCTGCCCTGACGATTAGATATGAGCTTCCCTTCCTTTAAACCTAAATGGCATTTTATTTGTAGCTATTACAATGATTATGTTCTGCTAATTATTGAGATGATTTGTGAATGTGTTTTTTCTCCCCTATTTAGGATCTAAATTCTTCAAGGAAATAGACTGGATCTTAGTCACATATCTATCTAAAAGACTAAAGAAAGTCAGGTCATTTCAATGTCATAAACATTTACCCAGCATCTATTATGTGCCAGAGAGTGAGTTAGGTCCTCGATATAGGTCTGTCTTATACACTAGTCTCCTTTCCACATAGCTTAGCATCCTCAACTGTAAAATCAAGACTTTAAGTTTTGTTATTTCATAAAGGCAACACCCTGGGCATGAACCTTAATATTCTATTCTAGTTACTAGATACACAGTTACTAGCTACTAGATAAACAGCATGATTATCCCTTTTGAATGTCCTACCAACCTAGTATTTCATTTCTAAACTTTAGAATTTTATTAAAAGCTCCTCAAAGATGAGCACCATTATCATTCTAGAGTGTAATCAGTTGTTTAAAGTTAACAAAGATACATATAAAATTGACATAAAAAAAGATTTTTTTTAAAGTATTAAGCAGTGATATAATAAGAAATAGATAATTGGTTTTTGCCCCTGGTTCCTGACACAGGGCTCCTAAAACCCTTGTTATTTCCTGAGTGATAGGAGTGTTAGGAGTATCTTTTGTTCTAATATTTGGTCTTTAACCCCAGTTCCTTATATAAGAGCTTCTAAGACTCTTGGAAACCCCTGCAGTGTTTAAGAGTATCCTTCTGCATGCTAATGAGGTGACTGATCCCTGGGGGGCCCCCCCTATATAACTTCGAGATGAAGACTGCTCTCCAAAAAGACAAAGGCATGATTAGAAGGTTGAACTTTCTGTCCTACCTCCTATCCTCAGGGCTGGAGATATAGTTAATCACCAGCGGCCAAAGATTTAATCAATCATGTCCACATAATGGAACCCCCATAAAAACCCTAAACAATAGGACTTGGAGAGCTTCCAGGATGGTGAACACATCCAAGTACCAGGAGGGTGGCACAGTCCAAACCGGAAGAGGACAGAAGCTCCTGTGCTCAAGACTTCCAGACCTCACCCTATGCATCTCGTCCTTTGGGCTATTCCAGGGCTCTATCATTTATGAAAAATCAGTAATAGTAAACGAAGTGTCTTCCTTCAATCCTGTGAGTTATTACAGCAAATTATCGAACCCAAGGAGGGGGCTGTAAGAACCCCCAATTTGTAGCCAAGTCAGGCAGAAGTTGTAGGTAACTTGGGAATCCACTCCTTGTGATTGGCATCTGAAGTGGAGGGCAGTCTTACCGGACTGAGCCCTTAACCTCTGAGATCTGGGCTAAGTGGGCAGCTAGTGTCAGAACTGATTGGTGTGGAAAACTCACACATTTGATGTCAGAAGTGTTCTCTGGGTAGAAGAAAGAGTTTCCCTTTAATAGCCAAGGTTAGTTAACCTTTCTAGGATTCCTGCCCTGGGAACTCTAACTGCAGGGACCAAGTGGGACAGCAGCCGTCTCTCAGAGGTAGAAGGCTAGTGAACTAAGAAAGAATAAATGTACACAGAAAGTCAGGTGGACACTAATCTGAGAGAATTTAATAATCACTGGGTTTTAATCATTCAATTTTCTGAGTTACAAATTCTAAGATTAAAGTAAATGAAAGCTCATGGAGCTATCTAATCTATGAAAAAAAAGGAAATTTTCCATAATACTCAATGACAAGTTTAAACATCCTTTTGAGAAAAAAATTAAATATGTCATTTCAAGTTAGGTTGTTTTGACTTTGTTCTAAAAATAAAGGAAAAACTGCAATATAAGCAATTATAAAGACCTAGAAGAATAGAAAAGGAAAAATACTTCAATTACCTCAATTTTGGTACCTCAGTTTGTGCTAATAGAAAATAAATAGTTGAATGTGGAGATCTATTATAATATATTTGTCAGGCAAAACAACAAAGCTTAACTATAGGACTGAAAACCGAACTATAGCCTCAATAAAACAGTTTGCAAAATAAATTAAGTTCTAAGCTAAAGAATTTTGAACAGCTTTTTTTCTTCAAAAAAAAATTTAAAAAAAAATCTGGAACTTTCTGTGCTTCTGTTTTTTCGTATAAAAAAACGTAGAAAAAAATTATTTTTCCAATCTGGAAAAGGTGTGAAACATAAGTATATTTAGATACTCAGCCTTAAGTCATACAATTGTAAAGTGTTTGTCACTAATAATTTAGTTACAAAAAATGTCTTTCTACCTTTGCAACTGAAATTCCATAGTCCTGGAGAGGTTTAACAGCCTCATTCAGTTCTTCAAGAAATACAGAGGTTCTTGGAGAATCTAAAATAAGAAATGTTTTATGAATGTTTTATGGCTTGCTCCTTAGGAAAGATGAATTTTTAAAATTAAAGCCCAAAGCTGCAAACTGAAGAAGAAATAGATTCATTTGCCCCACAAGTATATAAAACAACAAATAAAGTAAACATACCTAGTTATATATTTTTACACCCTTATTTCCTATTGCCTCATTATTATTTCTAATGTTTTTATGATATATTTTAACTTTGTAAGTATATTTAAAAATTTCTAAAACAAGAATAGAATAAATGTTTAATTTAAAGCTAACATTTGGCATTATTTTTCCAAGTTTAATACCACATACACAACACACACGGATGCATGCACAAAACTTTCAAAATGATTTTAAAGCTTTTTTTTATGAGAGAGAGAGAGAGCATGCATGCAAGTGAGGGGAGAGGCAGCAGGAGAGGAAGAGAATCTCAAGCAGGCTCCACACCCAGCACGGAGCCCATCGTGGGGCTCGATCTCACAACCCTGAGATCATAACCAGAGCTGAAATCAAGAGTCCAACACTTAACTGACTGAGCCACCCAGGCACCTCTCAAAATGATTTTAAAATACCATTTTCAAATGACAATTTTTTTTTTGCCAACAGAAATGTGGATTCATTTCACTTACTAATTCCAAGAATAGTTTTTTTTAAGGGATAAAGACTTAATGAGACCATTACAATTCTTAGTTACATTCAATTGGTTAATCAGTGTAATTAATGGTACAGCTAAAGCAGAGTATTAAACAAAAGAACTACTAATACTTCGTTTAAAGTTTTAAAACACTTTAAAAATATTTGTTCACTAAAAATACCAAAAAGTATACTTTCAGAAATGACTAGATGAAATTCAGATGTTATTCACTAATTCTTACCTAGTATTTACTATGGACTAGTCACATGAGTAAATTCATTTAATCCTCACAACAAATTTACAAAGCAAATATTATTTCCTCATTCTGGATGACAACAAAAACACAGAGAGGCTAAGTGACTTGATCAAAATCATACAGTGGCACAATCAGGATTTAAACTCAGGCAGACATATTTTAATAGCAGCTTTATAGCACATAATACTAATCCTGACAATAAATTCCTGAGAATTTATTGAGAATATTGATTAAATAGCAATAGAAACATCACAAAAATCATGTAGAATATAAAAAATACTTACCAGCTTGACAAAAATAAGCTAAGGAGGCTTTTCCTGGTTGCAATGTACTAAAATATTTCTGAGGACTCAGTTCTGATAGAGAGTCTACTGCTGACTTATAAAAAATGCACATCATGACAAAAGAGATGCCAACTCTAAATATATTGAAACTGGAAGACATCATCAGCTGTAGTTGTACATGGGCAGGAGATTTTTGTCTGTTTTGTTCAATGCTGTGGTTCTGTTGCCTAGGATAAAACCTAGCAAGAACAGGTGTTCAACAAAGTTTTGCTGAATAAATTTGTTAAACAAATGAATGAAGTAAAATCTGCAAAAAGAATAATATAAGGCATTACTTATATATTTGATTTTGCCAGTACTTTCCTATTTCCCTCTAGTAAATATTTGAGAGGGATGACATAAAATGACATTGATTTAATAATACTATTGATTTTTGATACTTGCAAAAGATATAAAAGATACCTAGAAAAAGCAACATGAAATATTTTAAGTGTAATAGGTATTTACTAATTAAGCTAATTGTCATTTTTAAGGGTTCTAAAATTAATTCTCAAACATTATTTAATCCTTGTTTTAAATTGGGCATTTTATCTTTCTCTACCTAGAACAGATTTACAATCAATACTCAGTTATTTAATACCATTAAATGGGAGTGAGACATCCAAAATCTGTATCTACTATGTCTACATTCTTTTTACTTTAAATTCCCTAGAAGACAGCAATTAAAACTATTTAAAGAACATTCCTTCCTAAATATACTTTTAATACATGATTTAGACTTATTTATACAGTTTAGAAATTCAAGCATCTTTTTCAACCCATATTTTAATTCAGCTCTATCTTCTGACCTCAGATTTGTTTTAGATCTCCTCCTCTCATCTCCTTTCCAGCTGTACTTACTTCCACGCTATCCTCTGCATCTGTTGTCAATTCTCTGTCTTCCATTTTGCTACCTTCAAATTTCTCTCGAACAATTTCTTCTTTCAGGAAGTTTTTCTACTGATGATCTATACTACCTAAGTTTAAAAAAAGATAGTTTGGGAAAATTAGTGTAACATAAATATATCATACTTCTAGAAGGTAAAGATACACCCACAAGCATAGGTGAGAATTTTAACTTTTTTTAAATTTCAAATAGAACCCTTACCTTTCAAACAAAGGATCACTACCTCAAAACAAGAGACAGAAAAAAAATAGCTAAAAATTACTCATAAGAAGAGGGGTAGACTTTCTCAGTAAAGAATAAAATGATAAAAGAATGAAAAATTTAGGGACAATTACACTAAATTGGATATTTACTTTGCTCTTTTTTTTAATAAATATTTTATTTATTTATTTGAGAGAGAGAATGAGATAGAGCATAGGGGGTTAGAGGGAGAAGCAGACTCCCTGCTGAGCAGGGAGCCCGATGCAGGATTCAATCCTGGGACTCGATCCCGGGACTCCAGGATCATGACCTGAGCCGAAGGCAGTCGCTTAACCAACTGAGAGAGAGAGAGAGAGGACTTCGCTCTTTTTTTAAGATTTTACTTATTTATTTGTCAGAGAGAGAGAGAGGGAGCATGCATAAGCAGGGGGAGGTGCAGCAGAGGGAGAAGCGGGCTCCCCGCTGAGCAAGGAGCCAGGACTCTAGGATCATGACCTGAGCCAAAGGCAGATGCTTAACCAGCTGAGCCACCCAAGCAGCCCTACTTTGCTCTTTCAATCTTATCAGTAAGCCTATAATTTCTCTCCTTAAGAAGCAGGTATTCCTGGGGCACCTGGATGGCTCAGTTGGTTAAGCGACTGCCTTCGGCTCAGGTCATGATCCTAGGGTCCTGGGATCGAGCCCCACGTTGGGCTCCCTGCTCCGCGGGAAGCCTGCTTCTCCCTCTCCTTCTGTTTGCTCCTCCTCCTGCTTGTGCTCTCTCTCTCTCCCTGTGTCAAGTGAATAAATAAAATCTTAAAAAAAAAAAAAAAGCAGGTATTCCTATGATCCTATGCCTTGTTTCTTAAATTCCACATATCAGTGAGATCATATGGTAATTGTCTTTCTCTGATTGACTTATTTCACTTAGCATAATACCCTCTAGTTCCATCCATGTTGTTGCATATGGCAAGATTATCATTTTTTTTGATGGCTGCAGATCATGGGGGAAGAGAGAAAAAAAATGAAACAAGAGAAAACCAGAGAGGGAGACAAACCATGACAGACCCTTAATCTTAGGAAACAAATTGAGGGTTGCTGAAGGGGAGGGGGTGGTGGAGTGGGGTAACTGGGTGATGGACATTGGGGAGGGTATGTGTTGTAATGAGCACTGTGTATTATATAAGATTAATGAATCACAGACCTGTACCCCTGAAACAAATAATACATAAAAAAAAATAATTGAATTTAAATTTAAAAAAAATTTTTAAAGCAGGTATTCCTAAAAAAAAAGAGGAGCTAATTACTCATCAATTACTTCTTAACATTATTTTCATTAGAACTAATTTATATCAGTGAACAAATCTGCCACTGATATTTAATAATGAACCAAGAGTTCAAAAACTCAAGTAGAATCAGTGAGGACTATGAGTGGTATTTTTAATGATATAATTTAGGGGTATCCTTGATATTAACACTGATTACACATTATAGAGAGAGAGAGAGAGAGTTTAAGATTTTATTTATTCATTCAAGACACAGAGATACAGAGAGAGAGAGAGAGCATGAGCAGGGGGAGAGGCAGAGGGAGAGCGAGAAGCAGGCTCCCCGCCCAGCCATGAGCCGGACGTGGGGCTTGATCCCAGGACTCTGGGATCATGACCTGGGCCGAAGGCAGATGCCCAACCATCTGAGCCACCCAGGTGCCCCACATTATAGCCATTTTAAACCACTGTATTTTAAAGCCACTTATATTAATGGGAATGGTTTAAAATAGGTCATTCAATATTTTCTTTATGGGGGGGTGGGAAATGCATGCATCCTGAGGCTAAGGAAATAACTATATAATATCTGTTACTATATGAAATAACTAAAACACAACGAAAAGATAAAGCTTTTAAATAAAAGTACATTTGAACAATTCAAGTATAAATATAATTTTTCCTGGGCTTGTGGTTACAATTCAGTTATTTTAACACTAAATTGGACAGTAGGGTTAACATATGATTCTTTTCCCATAGAATGAATTTCGTAGCAGAAAAAGGTCTAACTGCACATTCAGTGCTAGAATACTTTTCCCACACCTATCTCATTGGACAAATGAAATTATAGATGTGGAAGTACTATGCATTTGGTCAATTAGAGATGTTGGTGATTATTCTCACATACATACTTTCAGGGACAGGAACTCATTAGTAACTATAACCTTTGCAGTTTGTTCCATCTTTGATAAATTTGATTATTTAAGGAATTACTTAAAGCAGAGAATATTGCACAGGTCAGCCAGAAATAGTTTACATGGTTATAATAAAATAAACACTGAATAATGATTTAACCAAATTCAAGACAACCACAGTTCAGAGGATGGGGAGACAGAAATTAAGGAAACACAAAGTCAGGGTGAGAAGAGGAATAAAAGAGAGCTAAATCTTCGCTTTCACAACACCAAAAGCCAAGTTTATTAGAAATAGGAAAATCAATGCCAAAAGAAACAGGGAGCAATTTAAATAATTGCCTCTAAGGAATAAGAAATTGGAGGAGGAAGATACCAAGGAGACTTTTGGAGTCTTCCGTAGAACCACCTGACTCTTTAAATAGTGTACCTTTTCATTTTGATTTTAAAAGTTAAAGTCATTTTATTTGGACTACGTCAAAATAAAAAGCTCTGCACAACAAAGGAAACAACCAAAAAACTAAAAGACAATCTACTGAATGGGAGAAGATATCTGCAAATGACGTATCCAAAGAACATATATCCAAAACACATATCCAAAACATATAAAGAACTTATACAACTCAACATCAAAAAAAAAAAGTAATCCAATTTAAAAATGGGCAGAAGAACAAACATTTCTCCAAAGATGACATACAGATGGCCGACAGACACATGAAAATATGCTCAACATCACTCATCATCAGGAAAATGCAAATCAAAACCACAATGAGATATCACCTTGTGCCTATCAGAATGGCTAAAATCAAAAGCTCAAGAAACAAAGCGTTGGTGAGGATGTGGAGAAAAAGGAAACTTCATGCACTCTTGGTGGGAGTGAAAACTGGTACAGCCACTGTGGAAAACAGTATGGAAGTTCCCCAAAATTATAAATATAACTACCCTATGATCCAGTAATTGCACTACTGGGTATTTACCCAAAGGATACAAAAACATTAATTCAAAAGGATTTACATACATTTATGTTTATTGCAGCATTACTTGCAATAGCCAAACTACGGAAGCGGCCTAAGTGTCCATGATTAGATAAAAGGATAAAGATGTAGTATATATACAATAGATTATTCAGCCATAAAAAAAGAATGAAATCCTGTCGTATGCAACAACATGGATGGATCTAGAAGGTATAATGCTAAGTGAAATAAGAGAAAGACAAATACCATATGATTTCACTCAAATGTGGAAATTAAACAAAACAAATGAACAAATTAAAAAAAGAGAGACACACAAACCAAAAAACAGACTCTTAACTATAGAGAACAGAGGGTTACCAGAGGGGAGGTGGGTTGAGGGTGATGGGTAAAACAGGTGAAGGGGATTAAGAGTACACTTTTCTTGGGGCACTTGGGTGGATCAGTCAGCTGAGCGTCCAACTCTTAGTTTTGTTTCAGGTTGAGATCTAAGGGTCCTGGTATCTAGCCTTGCCACGGGCTCCATGCTAAGCAGGTAATCTGCTTAAGGCTTCTTCCTCTCACTCTCCCTCTGCCCTTCCCCAAGCTCACGTGCGTACCCGTGCTCTCTCTTTAAAATAAATAAATAAATCTCAAAAAAAAAAAGTGTACTTCTCTTGATGAGCACTGAGTAATATATGAAATTGAATTGCTATATTGTATACCTGAAACTAACACAACACTGTATGTTGATTACACTGGAATTAAAATAATACAAATGGGGGCACCTGGGTGGCTAAGTTGGTTAAGCGACTGCCTTCGGCTCAGGTCATGATCCTGGAGTCCCGGGATCAAGTCCCGCATTGGGCTCCCTGCTCAGCAGGAAATCTGCTTCTCCCTCTCACCCTCCCTCG